CACCAACAGCGTCTTCGACACCGGCCGACCGTCAGGTTCAATGTTCTCCACCGATGGAAGACTCAAACTCGGGACCCACGAAATGCAGCTTCACTGATCGGTCCGTGAATTTCTCAGAGCCTGTCTGTGAACTTCTGAACACCGAGGATCCATGGACCACTCAAAAACGCAAGGGGCTACGTAATCGAGTTCAAGCGTCCCCTGATGATAAACAACAACCCAATCAGATAAGCACCTCTAGTTCTGCTCCCAGAAGTTCATTACCGATTTCGCTTCGGCGTCATAATCCCATCGTCTTCCACGTAACACAGTCAAAGGATGAAAACTCTCAGATACGTTGTGATAACGATGTTGTGTTCCTTAAGGGGCTCATCGATAGACTCCTGTATGTGGGCGAGGAGAGTGCGACGATTAAACAAGTAATCCGACGGCCAGAACACTAACCAGTCATGTCGACCGCTGAGAATCACGTTTGCAAATCACAATATGCCGCAACTCATACTGTCTCGTCTGTCAAGGCTGAAAGACATAAAAGTTCACATCCACCGAGACTTGGAACTCGAAGACTGCGGTCATTGAGCTCAAACGCCGTACAGAGGAAGGTGAGACAGACTTACAAATCGTAAATTTTCAGGTGATCAAGAAGGGTGTACGAATCAGTATCAACCGGTTGCTCAACCTCCAGGCACGTCCCGCGGTACCTCCCAGGACCTCCGTGTGGCATTCGTCAACGTGTGCAGCCTAATGAACAAACGTGACGAATTGTGCCGCTTCGCTGTCTCGGAGCAGCCGGACGTTTTAGGACTTGCAGAGACTTGGCTGAACTCCGACATCATACCACAAGAAGTCGTGTTGTCAGGATACTCTTGTTTCCCATGCGACCGAAAGTTAAAGACTCACGGTGGTGTCCTGTTGTAGATAAAATCGTCACTATCTGGCAGACTTACCAGCACTTATCGGAGCTAGGATAATTTATGCGACCAAATGTGATGCACAATCCGCCTCAGACGCGCAGAACTAATAGTGGGTGTTATCTACCGTAGCCCATCAAACCGTTGTTGCGATTGGCTACCACATGTACAGAAGCACATGAGCCACCCTCAGTTCTTACTGATGGGGGATCTAAATTTACCTAAGATATTTTGGCCAGACGTTCGACTTCTTCCCGGTCATAGCAACGTTAAGGCTCAATTCGCTAAAATGACTATTGAAATCGGGGCAACGCAACATGTCATCCAACCGACGCGCGTAACTCCGCACTCGGCATATTGTCTGGACCTAATGTTTACGAGCTGCGAGCAGAAGCTGAACGAGATCAGAGTCCTCGAACCTTTGGCGAACAGTGACCACTGCTCCATTGTGGCAAACATAGCACTGTCGTTACCGTATTACAACCAATGGAAGCTGATATACAACTTTTGGAAGAGGGACTTCAACGGGCTCTTCCAAGCCGCAAGTCAGACTGATTGGACACTACCACAGGATGCATTGATTGAAAACTGTTGGTCATTAATGAAGGGGAAGCTTAACTCGCCGTGTACTCGGTTCGTTCCCCTGAAGTATTCAAAAATAGGACCTGTCAAACCGCATTGGTTTGATATGGAATATAGACAGTTAGCGCGACGGCGTCGCAAACTTTGGGATAGATACATCAGCTCGGGTTGTGATGAAGATTACACGGTGTACAAGAAACAGCGTAACTTATGTAACGCCGCAAAAATCAAGAAACGCTGGCAGTTCAAAGAGGAGCTAGCATCCTCGGCCACAACTGCACCCAAAAGAATATTTGCCTACTTGAAACGTCAACTGAAACCTTGGGGCGACCTACCGGTCTTAGAGAGATTGGACGGACAGACGCTCATTTCAAGCGCGGAGCGCGCGGACGCCTTGGCTACGCACTTCCTCACCGTATTTTCCAGTAAACCGGCAGCTGTTCCAGTACCGACACAGGTTGCGCCAGTCTTGCTCGACAGCCTACAATGTGATGCAGTCGAAGTGTATCAGCTACTCGTCAACCTCGATGGCGCAAAGCCCCCGGACCAGACGGACTTCACCCACTAATACTCAAGTCCCTATCGATTATCATCTCACCAGCCGTGACAAACCTATTCAATAAATCACTCTCTGAAGGATCTGTCGCCAACGACTGGAAATGCTCGATAGTGAGACCGCTTTCCAAGAGTGGTGATCCGAGTAAAGTGGAGAACTATAGACCGATCTGTTTAACTTCGATATTATCCAAAATTCTCGAGAAGGTTGTGAAAAAGTGTCTGCTGTCGTTCTTCGAATCGATGGACGTATTGACGCCAGTGCAACACGGCTTCACGAAAGGGCGATCCTGCATCACCAACTTGATGTACGCAAACCACCAGTGGGTACGAGCTCTCAATGAACAGTAGGGTGTTGACGGGGTGTGCAACAACTTTAGTAAGGCGTTTGACAGAGTGAAACACGAGGTACTGCTTCGTAAACTGAGGACATACAGAATCGGTGGCACGTTACTTCAGTGGTTACACGAGTTTATTGTGGGACGAAGGTTTAGAGTACAGGTCAATGACTACCTGACAGACTGGTTCCCATCGACCAGTGGCGTGCCTCAAGGAACTGTACTTGGGACAGTATTATTTCTTATTCATATCAACGATCTTCCGCAGCAGCTCCAGTCACCATGTGTCCTGTTTGCAGATGATTTGAAAATCTGGAAAATCATTGAGAACCAGGACGACTGCGCTCGCCTCCAGCATGACTTAGAGCGACTGTCAACGTGGTCCACTGAAATGCAACTCCCTCTTAACGTAAGCAAGTCGGAGTTCATCAGTATCACCAGACGTCGAGCCACTCGATCATACACATTGGACGGCCAGTTGCTCCACCCTAAACACATCTGTCGGAGACCTAGTTCTCTCGCGACATGATATGAGATCACTAGAAAATACAGAGAAATTGTACCGTGCGGGACTTCGTATGCTCTGCGCATTAAGACGCAGTTTCTCCACATGGTCCGAAGAAACCGTCCCTCGCCTATTCACCTCGCTCATTAGACCAATCCTTGGATATGTTGCCCCTGCTTACCATCCGATAACCCAGTGGGAAACTGAAAAGTTGGAGAAAATACAGCATATCGCAACTAGAATGATACCGAGTCTACGAAAGCTTCCGTATGAAAAACGTTATGAAAGACTCGGACTCTACATACTATCCTTCCGCCGAGTAAGAATTGACCTTATTATGACCCATCGAGTACTACACTTGAATCACTTCCCCATACTGCGGCCAATATTTCACCTGCGGGAACCGTGTAATACCCGAGGACACCATTACAAACTCAGGGTCCCCTGCATGAACAAAGTATCACATTAGCTTTGTATCGAACGAAGGACTGTAAACTTATTGAATACACTACCAGAAGGACTAATAGAGGCCGATTCTGTGAAGTGTTTTAAGACACGTATCGACGATTATTTCGGAAACCTGTGCTTTTTTTGTAACGGTGCACATACAATGCCAAAAGAAGACATCGTATGCTCGGAATAATGACACCAATACGAATTCCTAACCGAACAAGGATAAACGATTAACTGACCGAACACAACCGCTGATGACTCACAACTAAATGTTTTTTGATTTTTCATAATTCGATGGAGTTGTACAGAAACCTTTCTACTTGCTATTAAATACAGTCTCAGTCTCGATCGAAATGTTCTAGTGAAGTACTGCGGCCAACCGATGAGTTGTCTCCTGGGAGCCTACATCCATGCAGGATATTCCCTCGAAGGGTTTCACCCGCACCTCGATGTCTGTTCTGACCGTGTGCTGGTGTGGCTTTAAAACTGGTTAGTCATCGCCATTTTTGGGGCTCTTTTTAAGTGTATATGTAAGGATATTCAGGGCATATAGCGGGATTTTTTTGAGTCTAACACTTGTACTGCTCGCCAGGGAGTCTATGGCACTTGGCCTTGCATGGGTTAATTTAGTAGCTGGAAACTTCAGCTCGTCGTGGCTAACAATGGAGCCAATAAGAATATAGAATATGAGGTAGTAAGGTAATTCCGGTAATGATAATAAATAAGGATATGACGTATTTAAATACAACCAAGAAAGGCCGACCTATTTTTCGGCTGGATCGCTGTAATAGATGACTGCTCGAATAATCGATATGCAACACATTTTTGAAAGGAATTTTCAAGTTTCTCCAGCAGTTGCATGCGCTAGAAAAATTCAACATTTGATATCGCTGTGCACTGAGAACTACTATCTGGCTCGACACTAAACACCAGCTGACGGATATCAGCGCTTCTACACCGTACTATTAACTGACACGATGTGGTTACTCTACCGTTTCCATACGTGATTGAAACGGCTCAGATTTTACCGATTCGCAATTTCGTTTAGTGGATTTTTTTTGACTGGTACAGCGCTTCGCATAATCTTCTGCCGAGTGCCATTGATTGTGCTACCAACATAGCGGAGATACGTTCATTTTGTTGGTTAGTTTAGCGGCATGTTCAACGACTCATTACCGAAATCTGTCTTAAATGTCCAGACGTTGCGTTATCTGTGCCGGTCTGCGCAGCGTCGGTTGCTTTCTTCATACCTTTTGTGTGGTTACGATTTAATCCACCACTCACTACCACAACCAGCCTGGTATTCCAACCTTCACCAGTTGATCAACACGCACGATTGCATGATAGCCACTGGCCTCCTTTAGATGCAGCATCATTCTGAGTCTCTCTCCTCTTTCCCCTTTGCCACCTTTTCAACTACAATTCATCTCAATCGCTGTCACAATCAGTTAAACGTCCTAAGCCCAGTCAGTTAATCATACGTGTGAGCTGCAAACAGACCATGCGATAGTCGCTAGTCACATTTTGGTGCATTGCCTCTTTTGATCAATATATGTTTGCGCTACTATTCTATTGTGGTCTTTAGGCACTGATTAATCGGATTTCCGGATTCTTTCACACACTCCTCATGATTTAGTTCGCTTACATTGCCGGCTATTTCTCTCAACCGGTGGTGGCATAACGAATCCAAACTCTCATCCGGAGATAGTCATCATTTCGCTTCGGTAGCTCATTGGCATTCCACTTGCCTGAGATGGTTGATACTCACGGCATAGTATGTCATTTTTAATAAACAATCCGTGATTTTCCACCATCCTTAAACTGTCGCCACTAGTCAGCCGGACATCACCGGCTCGAGTCTTTGTAAGAGATCCGGAGACCTCACTGTATCCTTAGTCCATGCGCAGCCGGTGGTGATTGCGTGGCAACAGTGTCAGTACGGTGTAATGTTGATATATTTTCTATTTTCTCTAGCCACCAGAGGAGCAGTACGTATTCACAGAGTTCACCGTCAAAACGCTTCCTCGATGTCCTACTGCTTCTGTAGTTTAATTTTTTTTACACCGTTGGGTTGTTCCAAAACGTCATATCTCACATCTGCTTTTTCATCCATCTCAATGCCGTATAGAATTTGGTGGCTTCGGAGCAGTGTCTGGCAAGATTGATATCAACATCAAGATCAACCACGAGGGTGAGGTAAATCGCGCCCGCTATATGCCTCAAAATCCTTGTGTAATCGCCACCAAGACTCCAAGCTCCGATGTTCTGGTGTTTGACTACACCAAGCATCCGAGCAAACCGGACCCTTCGGGCGCCTGCAAACCTGAACTACGGCTTCGAGGGCATCAGAAAGAGGGGTATGGGCTCTCGTGGAATCCAAATCTAAACGGATACCTGCTTTCGGCTTCTGACGATCATGTACGTGTTACCTTCCATTTGAAAACAATTCACATGTTGTGGTTCAAATTACTTTACACATGAATAAGTCTAGCGCCCTACATTGTCAGTTTCTTCGTGCCCCGAAGTTGTCGTAATTATTTCGGCATATGAGATTTATAAGGCCCGGTTATCTATCTCTGAGTATCTGATTCTGCTAATTTACGGAGCTCTTGCGGGTTGTTCCGATTTGTCCCACTTTACTTTCACGGCTTCATTCCCCATGCTTTATTTTGATAAAGGTTGTCCCCGGTGGCTTTAAGTACCTACCCACAATGTTGTGCATCGGGCCGCAATTTTGCTCTTTAGCTTATCAATGTGTTTAGAAGTCAGCGTACTTCCGCTACCAGTTTGCCACTTTTTCCCTTTATTAGAATGAATCAAGGGAGGCAGAATTGGAGTAAAGAATTCTTTTCGGTAATTCTCATCAGACTCAAACATTACATGAGGATGAGAAAGTGCTAAATGTGCCGGAGTGGGCTGCCTAGTGATCAGAATGTTTAATTCCAACAGGACAAATCGATAAATCGCGGAGTCATTCAAGGTGGCAAAGTATGTACAGGGGAAATCACAGTCGAAGTTGTGGGCCACGATAGAAGTAAAGGACGTACAAACTGTTTTTGTACGCACAATTCTGGCTTCAGGTGGCGGATGTAGATAGCTTCCGCAATAGACAGAAGATGCTTCCGGAATCCGCGCGAGAAACGCTCAGGAAAGTTATAGATGACACTGAAATCGTTTTCCGTCCCTACGTGACTGCACTCTAAAAGATGAGACAAGAGTCATCTATACTATTCGTGAGCGTTTCTCGCGCGGATTTTGGAAGCATCTTCTGTCTATTGCGGAAGCTATCTACATCCGTCACCTCAAGCCAGAATTGTGCGTACGAAAACAGTTTGTACGTCCTTTACTTCTACCGTGGCCTACAACTTCGGCTGTGATTCCCCCTGTACATACTTTGCCACCTTGAATGACCCCGTGATTTGTTGATTTGTTCCTGTTGGAATTAATTAATTAATGATCAATACGCAGTCCACTCCGACACATCATGATGTAATGTTTGAGTCTGATGAGAATTACCGAAAAGAATTCTTTACTCAAATTCCCCATTCCTTGATTCATACTAATAAATGGGAATTTTTGTGTTACTGAAGATGTGCATTCTCCGTGATTCAGTGGTGTGAATTATGATGTGACACTCCGAGAATCAAAATGAAACCTAAGCAGCGATCAATAATCGGTTATTCATGAACCCTGGTGCATAAATTTGAAGTCCCATTCAGTTGTGTGTCGACCGTTCGCTGGTTATTCCCCATTGTCGCGCCCTGTACAACCTGCTTAAGTTCCTTCACCCTCACACGTTGCTTCTCTATCTTGCTTGCTTAAACTCACGCTGCTCTGTCTGACGGAACTTTAAGCCCCGTTCGTAGTACGCCACGTCAATGCTGCGCTGTCATTCTTGCTCATGTAGTTGTGGCCAGCTCGTGTGGACCACATGTGATTAGCCTTTTATCCGTTGGCCCCGCATCCATTCCATCTTTTACGCTGTTAGCCATGCTATTGCGGTATTTAATCTCATGATTTGAAAATAAACATTTTTGCTGAATGTAAGGTTTTTATTTGAAATAAAAGATTTGAATTGGCACACGTTTGCCAAAGAGAAACAAGTTTGTTTAACCCGGAGGAATAAAGTTCCGGAGCTTTTGTGGTTATGGGCTCATCGAATGCGGTCTCAGCATGTCTCCGGGTTTTAAAACATTTATCTCGGAAAAGGGGTAATCAGTAGGCGAGGGGTCAGAGAAGTGTGATGGCTTAGGTGAAGTTTTGTAGCCCAGCTCGGAAAGCTTCCGCATGCTTATCCTGCAGAAGGACTGCCTCCTTTCTGTTGACTAGTACCAGACACACGTGTTCAAGTTTTCGGTACATTTTGGCAATTTATAGTAGTTTCCCTTGGATTCATAAATTGTGAGTCAGACCAGCCGCAGACTACTAAACAGTTACCCTAATATTTGTTGGGTGGAATTTCGACTTTGGGTAGTGCTGTGGAGCTCGATCATGGTCCAGCCATTGTGAGGTCCATCGTCGATTGTCGTACAGTATACACTTTTCATCGCACATCACAATCCGGTGGAGAAATGACCCGTATTTTAACACAGCCAAAGGACAGACAACATTTCAAAACGACGACTTCGATTTTCACCAACATTTTAACGCGGATCCGCTTCTACTTCCGATGATCGTCCACAACGCTCTCCCTTTTCGAAACCACCACTGTACGGTTATCCGTGGTTACAGGACCACATACACTATTGATGTCACAAGCTGTTTCCGTTGCATTTCCAAATTTAAATTGGAACAAGGAAATTGTACGATTTTTTTCTGTGTTGCATACAATGTTCTGTATTCACACATGACGTCACAATAGCTAAGATGTCACTCTTAGCTAACGTGTACTGATCATCATCACCAACATCAGCCATTGGAACTGATGCTTCGCTGCCATATAATCATGACCTATGAAATGAAAAATGATAAGAGGGAGAGAAGAGGGTCTTAACTGAAAACCATAATGCCCTAAGCCAACATTCAGGGTCAAGGTGCCTACACCTTGTGTAGACAACACACCGTCACAAACAGCTGGCTATCGTGCAAAAATAAGGCGGCATCGGCGAGACAGCTTCCTTGCGGCTTTCACTGCCACGCGTCATAATCAGCCATTACCCCGCAGATATCTCAGCACCAAACACACTTTAAACAGGCAATCTGGTTAGGAGACGGTAGCAGACGCGCCACTGGTGTCGATTGCGAGCCATGTCCTGTAAAGCCTCGAGCCAAGCACAAGGCGAGTCACGTGGACTCCAGCCCGGAAGGCGAGACGGAACAACGGCAGTCAATTTGGTCGTCAGTGACTTCATTTCCCGTTGCCATGTCAACTTCTGTCCACCTCGAGCCTTGTGCCACCCTACACATGGTAGACTGAACAAGGCCCTCCTAGGTAAGCGGCAACTAGGCATACGTAGCACGTGTCCGATCCAACGCAACTTATTCAGTGCTGTCTGTCGTTCTAGGGAGATAGCATGATTATCACTACCCAGCACTCGCCTACGCACATCATCGTTGCGGACACGCTGGTGCCTTCCGACCCGTGCAGTGCTTCGCAGACAACGATGATCAAAGACTTGAAGGCGCCTTAGATCTTCAGATCGAAGGGGCCAAGTCTCACTACCATAGAGCAGAACGGTCCTCACTGTGGCCTTGTATACACGGCCTTTCAGATGAAGAGAAACGCCCTTCTGCCGCCAAAGATGCCGCAGGTTCAGGAATGCAGCTCTGGCCTTGGCAATGCGTGAGCTGATATCATTTTCTATGCGCCCAACGTTGCTGATGCAGATGCCAAGATAAGTGGATTGATCAACCACCTCGAGTTCCTCATTAGCAAGCGTCAAGGGGGCATCAAGTGGCTGGTGGTCCTGCAGCAACACTTTGCACTTTGAAGGTGCGAAGTGCATGTCAAATAATGGGACCACTCGACACAGGCTATTCAGGGTCAATTTTGCCGCTGCAACATCATCGAAAAGCAAGACGATATCGTCCGCATAATCTAGATCAACTAACCTTTCAACAGGCAGCACTTCAACGCCTACATCGTGAGATTCCGCAAGGAAACACTCCATGATAGACTCCACGTGGAAATTGAACAGAAATGGGAAATCGGACAACCCTGACGAACGTCAATTGTGGTCGCAAAGCTATCAGGTAAGTCACCGTAGACCTTAACGAGGCCTGTATTGTCCAACTACAGAGTACGTGAAAGATTCGCATATTTCGTGGGAACAACTCTCCGCGTAAGTATTTCGAACAGAATCGATCGATCGACTGAATCGAACGCACTCTTGAAATCGAGGAAAACAGCTGCTGTCGGTCTGGGGTATGCGTGCCGCTGCTTTAGCACCAGCCACGTCCTAAGCAGAAATCGGCCTGCACTTCCCTAATCTGAGATTCCCGTTCCACAGTGAGGCGACAAACGAGAATCTAGGCCAGTAATTTTGTCACAACTGGCGTTAGGCTAACACCTCTGTGGTTAGAACAGTCTGTGCGAGTGCCCTTGTATATTGCCACTATAATCCATTCGCTCCAGTTAGCCGGGACACTTCCTTCCAAGTCCATTGGAATAGGGAGGTCAGTGCTTTGCAAGGGACTGCACTTCCATCCTTAAATAGTGCAGGTAGGAGGGAATCCAGGTCAGCGGCACGAAAATGATTGAGGTCTGTGATCCTGTTTCGGACCTCCGCCTCTGACGGAGGCTCTAAAATAACCGCCCATAGTTCGTCCTGCATCGTCTGAGTAGGAAGAGGTCCGGGAGCAAGGGGCCAGCTGAACTGATCTTGAAAGTGTTCCGCCCAACGAGCAATACAGCGCTCCTTATTGTGTATCAGCGCACCTGCGCTGTCTCTGATTGTCTCACTGACGCCTGGTTTTCTTCGACCAGTGGTGCGGATTAGCTGGAAGTGCTTGCGGTAATTGCCTACTGCTCCTGCCCCCTCCATTTCTTGAGCTCGACAGATCCACTAGGTTCCATTGTCAGCACGTAGGCTCCGCTTTAGTTCACGCCTAATAGCCCGTCTCGTCACACTGTGCTCAGAGCCAGCCGCGAGGTTTCTTTTGGATTCCAACAGATCCACCGACATCTCAGATATCCAGTGACTGATGCGGTGACGATGGATAGTGCCACAAACAGATGCTTCTGCGTCGTGCATGACGCCCGAGATCCTATTCCACTGAAGCTCAGTGTCAGTCCGTTCAGGGTTAAGCCCATAATTGCCACCCAGCGGAGCTTCTGAATAGCTCAGACGCCCTACTTGTGCGTTCATATCCCCTGTAACTACTATACTACCTGAACTAGTAGCACTGCGTAGTAGCGCGTTTGGTTCGTGATAGATTGTGTCCTTGACAGCATTAATACTGCAGTCGGTGGGAGCATAAACGGAAATCACAAACAAACAGCGTTTTGTATTGTTTCGCGAATCCAACTTAGCTGATGTCGTCAAATGGACTGCACATAAACGGCACTTCACCGGAATCTAATCAACCAACAATGGCTCAGTCTTGGAGCTTAGAATGATACCTACACCAGCTTGACCCGTGAGTGCGACATCGGCGTCTCCGGATGCGTGCAACCAATAACGAGAGGATAAGTCGGCTGCAGTTAATTCAACAACCCGGTTAGGGTCATTGATCCTAGTTTCGGACACACAACACACATCAATACCCAATGTGTCCAAGGTGCGTGCGAGTACAGCGTGCTGACCTGTTTGTCTTAGAGTGCGAACGTTGAATGTCGCCATGGAAGTGGGATCGCCCGGCCTTATAAGGGACTTTTGCCGATAGGCGTCCGATAATTGCTGTGGAATGGTGGCTGCAGATGGTTATACTCCAGTGGCACTTCGGTTGCTGTCAAGTAAGCTGGGAATTATAGAAGGAAAGTTAGTAATGGGGGTCGGGATGTGAGTAAGTCAAAAAAATGGAAAAGAAGCGAGTCGCCAGTAGTGGCATGTTTTCGCTTATCCGCCCTGCTGTATGCAGCAGATAAGGCGACCCTTTATAATCTGCGCGACGGCGGATGCAGGATGAAGTTTACGTTTGAGGAAAATGTCATGGTTGTATATGAGCTGAGATATTGCCAGGGCGCCCAGACGTAGACAGGAGGACGATTAAGGTCCTCATCCAAAGCCTTTGGCTCAAAAACCTGTCCGCAAGGCAGCGGGGAGGCGGCAATTATTTAGTTTTACAAAATTGGACGCACTCCCATTTCAACTCCCCAACATGGAGGACCCGGAGACTGTATTTGTCTGACCTCTCACCATTGACCAACCTGGTAGGAGTATCTCTCAAGGTGCCCGGAGGCATCACCCAGTATAGCTCAATGGGTCAAGGAGGTACGCAAACCGTCGCACCACGTTAAGGTCCAGTGTCGTTGCGACGGACGTGTATTGATGGTGATGCTGAACTGTAAGACGTGTTCCTGCGCCGAATTATCACTTCTGATCGAGCGAAATACGTACTTGAAAATGATATACAATATCAAGGCAACTTAAGAAATCTATTCCAACATACAGCTGTTAAAATATTAAAAAAACCGCAATGTCTGTATTAACAAACCAAGTCCCATCACACTGATTCTGACCGATGTAGATGGGGATGATGAGAGATATCAGTTACCGCGTGTGGCAACTAACCTAGTTTTCTTGCGGAATATTTATTATTTATATACTGCTCGTCCACCGCATGAATCCAGTCACTATTCCTTTACCAATTCTTTTCCGCCCATTATCCGGCATGTACCAATCTCCGTTCTTGCCGCTGACTTCGATTAAGTTCGTGACAGGATACTCACTTTTTTATCCATTTTATCCTGTTTACTGTGTGTGTAATTACTGTCTGCGCGATTCCGATTGAATTGAACTCGTTCTCTGCTAGCTCCGAACCCCAGCCGAAAATCATCAGATGTCAATGCTTGGAGGCGAAAGCGTGTTGTTGAATCAGCTGCCAAAACGGATACAAGTAGTGTGAAATTAAGGGACACTATTATGGGTCAACCAAGGAAGATTCGCATATCAGAACAGCTAGGTCAGCTGTCCTGATTGGTAGATCAGTTCCGCTAGCCAATGGGAAGGTTGGTTGGTGCACTCGTCAAATGGACACGAACGTTCCTGCAACCACTTGATATTTCGGTAGTACACCATTGGCTCAGCTTGTTTCCTCCTTGAATTAATGAATTTTCCTGAGAGATTTTACTCTCCCTGACAATTACCAAGTTCCTCCCGGGTCAACTTAGCTTCAGTCTTGAATCACAGCCCTATTACCACCCACAAAAGACGTACTACTGATCACTGCAAACCGGTAGTCAATCATTGTTGTTGTGTTGTTTCGTTTTCGTTCTCCAGACTATTTGCATGTGGGACATCAACGCAACACCAAAGGAGGGCCGAATCATCGACGCGAAGACCATTTTCACGGGGCACACCAGCGTCGTGGAGGATGTCAGTTGGCATCCGTTGCATGAGTCGATTTTCGGCTCCGTTGCGGATGACAAAAAGTTGATGATTTGGGACACACGAAGCGGTTGTACCACCAAGCCGAGCCACACAGTGGAATCTCACCTCGCTGAAGTCAATTGTCTCTCGTTCAATCCTTTCAGTGAGTATATACTCGCCACGGGCAGTGCTGATCGTACAGTGGCCCTTTGGGATTTGAGGAGTTTGCAGATGAAACTGCACTCATTCGAGTCACATAAGGATGAAATATTCCAGGTGGGTTTACCTACGTGTGCTAATTTCCCATTCATATTCGAGATCTATATGATAATGCGGTGTATAGCCAGTTACAGTCTGCTACTTTTGTGCCCATGTATGATTGTCGTGAAGCTTAACCCGGTCTGCTTGACAGTTCTCGCCACCCCGCTTCGCTGCATCGTGCGCACAATTTACCAGTTGTGGTGCTGTTTCCTGGTGAGCGACTTCTTGACGACTTGGAATAGGCTGACGACATTGCCCAGAGCTGTGTCAGCTCCCATACTTGCCAAGCAGCACTAGATGGATTAGCAATGGCTATCAATCATTTCGGGCTTTGCCACATACCCTCAGAATGCAAAGTCCTTCAAGATTAGCATGGACCCACCCTTGCACTGACCGTTGGTATTGTTCTGACAGAAGTCTTCTAGAAACTCAACTATCTCGACAGCTATATTAGTGTTTATGGAATAGCATAAGTTCCAGGCACTTTTGCCAATGTACCACCTGTGGCACAGGTGCGACATCACTTTCGCCCTGAAGGATAGCGTATACAATGCAGTCGTGCGTTTAACCTTACTGTACGGCATCGAAACTTAGCTCATCAGCTCAACAGACATAAAGGGGCGAAAAATATTCAGCCGTCGCTACATTCGCAGTTAAGCCCATATTTGATAGGACAACCGCGTGAGCGTGTGTGGCATCGTATATCTGGCGTAGGAAAAGCGAGTGAACGGCTCAGCACCGTTGTATCATACAGCAAGCTCCGATTGCTTGATGACGTGTTACACATGCCGACACGCCGATTCCCGAAACATGTGTTATCTGCGTTCCGCGGTGTGGATGGAAGAAGAGGGGAGGCCAAGTGATGATGACTTAGTCAAAATGAATGAAAGCCCTCACTTCCAAATTGGCATCGGTTGGTGTCTCCCGAATGCCGGGCTGGATCCACAAGGACGACGGACAAGTTTAGCTGATCTCAATGGCGTTTGTATTGTGTTTCTTTGTCCCTCCCATTCACGATTAGCTTCCCTCTCCAACCACGATCTCACACTTGATGCATACTATGATGCTGAGCACTTTATTACTTACTTTCGTTTTTTTAATATTATATTGTGCAATGTGTAGTATCGTTTTTCATATATCGTTATGTATTGCGGCACAATAACTGGGTTGTTCCGCACCCTTAGCTAAATTGTAATGATGCGCAAAACGGTTCAAAGAAAAAACCCAAGAGCAGATTACGTAGTTACACAACTCCCTTAAACCAGCCTTCCCTCACTTCTGTGCTGGGACTTCGACAAAGCGGATTAATGTCAAAGCAGCAACTTTCAACATCTTGACGTATTATTAGTGGTGGTGGAAAAAATACACCGGCCGATGTGTCTGAGTTTTGTTGGAACAAATGTGGGACTCGAAAATGCTCTCACCTCCAACTTTGACTAAATGAGCGACATCCTAACCAGCATTCCAGCGCTGCTTCATGCTGATTTTCACCGGACTTATTGTTCAGACGATTTGTGACAATATATACGCATACCAATTGGTCGGATCGATACTTCATGAGCATACTCTCACCTGAGTGCCATGTTCATCGCACCCTTGGTTACTCAGGGAACTTTATTAGCTTACGTCACTAGATCTGTGTATGAGTTGAAAACGGGACCTCTTATGGAGAACGCTGCCAGATTGGTTACCGCTGGGGGGCCCTCTGGTGCCTCCCTGGAACGTCTGCTGGACATGAGCCGTTCGCGTTGACCGCCTTCTTTGGCGTGCATCATCACATGCTGTCACTGCACGTAACTGGGTGGGGTTGCGGGTTGTTGGCCAGTAGCATGGCATAAAAGCATTAAAAAATTTGCGTAGAAACTTGGCCGGACGAGTGCTTGCTGTCTTCGGGATGGTCCACATCAGTAAATGGAGACTTTATCTAGCACGCTACAGCTTCAGATTCCATGGTGTTGCTGCATTAGGTCTTTTGCATCCGTTTTCATCAAGTTTAGCCACCTTTTCGTGGCCCATTTTGGTTTGCCTTCACGTCCCACTTCATTTGCCACACCATCGTTGTTGTTATCCAATTGCCGGTTCTGAGATGCGTCGTGTCACGGAGCAACGCTCAACTTAGCGTAGTTATCCATCATCATAAACTGTTTCCTACATGCAAGTGGTGAGCTATGGGGCTCATAATTGGTTGGAAGCCATGCCATCTTGAATGAGCATGCTGCGTTCCCGAATTGCCTCGTTAGAAAAAAAAGCGAGTGTAGGCCAGCAATTCAGAGCGGATCCGTTACATGTGCCATATTATTAAGTAACATCCACCTACACCGAGAGACGAATTGAGTTTCGACTGTTTATACAGTATCGCCGACCGGTTAGTCCACGACACGCCCTGACATCTAACTGGACTCGGCGTGCACTGTACCGTGCAGCCTAGCATTTTCATGGCACATTTGAGTCCCCACTTACAAGCCTGTTATCTTCCCATGCGTATTCCTTATCCTGTGGTAGCTGTGTACGAATGAGAACATAGTTTTGTTATAGTCCCTCAAAATCACAACGCGCCGCCCTGATTGGCTGTTTTGGACCCAATTGCAACGCTTCGCTGTTCAAGAACTCAAGGCTTCCGTCAACAGTTTAGCATCCATAAATTACACGGCCAATGGGATTATTCCACTGAATTTATAGCGAAAGGTTGGTTTTTGTTCCACGAAAGATTCACTGGTCTTTTCCTTAGATGCTCCTAACAAGTTTACTAGAGCACCTCCGTTCAAGTGAATAATTACTACAAAGGCAACGGTTCTGATTGAGCTTCGGTCGTCCCGCCATTCTTTTTTGGTAAAACCATGGATCCTGAGTCCGGTTTCTTGAGCATCAATTCACCGGTGTTTTCGTAACGTTTATAATGCAGCCACCATGACAATTCAGATGACAGTGAACATTCAACCTTGAATAACCTCTAGAGTGGTCCCATCATCTGGCATGCACTTCGCACCTTCAAAGTGCAAAATGTTGCTGCAGGACCAGCACTCACTTGATGAACCACTGACCGTTGGTAGCGAAGAACACGAGATATCAGAATCAAAAGACAGCTAGGCGAACAAGCTTGTTTTCGGTGGTTCGCATCAGGCCAATACACCACAGATAATAGGAATAAAACAAACAAACTGCATTTCAATACGATGAATCAATGAAGTGAATTGACCGGTCAATGCGATCAAGTGACCACACTGGCTTGGGCATCGTTAGTGGAAGGGTCAAGCGTGGTGTCATAACATGGGGAAGCTTGAGGCCATGGCAGCTGTAGAGGCTGTACAAACTTCTTTTGAGCACATAATTCGGGATTATGGAGCCGAATAGCGATTGCTTCCGCTGTCGCCAATAGGCGACATCGGAGGGCTCGCGTGTGGCGTCCAGATATCTTGTAGATAGGCCAGAAGGCCTCTCGCACATTCACTTGATGATTTGTGTCGGCCAAGTGCCCCAGCACCGCGCTGACTGCTGTCTTTCTGACACCAGTGTAGAGCCACGCCGGGCAATGTTCTCGGACTCTCTCAGACAGTCTCCTGGTCGTCTTTCCAATATAACTTGCTCGACACGAGCAAGAAAAATGGTACACACAGAAGGAAATATTCGACCTCGGCAATCTGTCCTTGAGATGCTGACTCACGACTGGCGTAGAAGTGAAGCTGACACGGAGGTCAGCTGCAAAGTAGGTTCTCGCTGTTGCATTGCAGGGCCTTCGAGTAGTTCGTTCTGCTATCACATCACCTTTGAAAGGCAGTGATAAGTAGATTAAGCGCTTTTCAGCGGTGATTGGTTGGACTTTTGGTGCTCGTGGCTCCATGTGTCTCCGGATGAATTTGTCCGGATAACCATTTTGTTCGAGAACGCTTCGAATGAAACTCAATTCATCTGACAGCGTGTCTTCCGTACATATTTTCCTCGCTCTTTCCGTTAGACAACAGACAAGGTTGCGTTTTTGGCTCATGGGGACGAAACTGGCGAAATGGGTATACTGCCCGGTCCAAGTTGTCTTTCTATGTACTCTCCTTTGTACTGTCCCGTCTGATGTTCTGGTGATGTGGACATCTAAGAATGACAACGAGTTGTTACTTTCAAGTTCTATGGTGAACACTGTTGTTATGTGCAGCGTTGAAGTGGGCTAGCAGATCTTCGATGCATACTCGACCATCCGCAACACAAAATATGTCATCAATGTATCGACCGTAGTAAACCAAGTTGTTGATACATTCGTTTAGCTGAGTGTTCTCTAACTTACTCATGAAAACATCGGCGAGTAGCGGTCCTAATGGTGAACCCATAGCTGTCTGTAAAACGTCTCATTGAACTGAAACTGAATGTTCTTAGTGTACGCCAATATAAGTTGCCTTAAACAGTCATTTGGAATACCGATGTTGATGTTGTGCAATTGGATAAACTCGCAGAGATAGTCAATGGTCTCTTCTAACGGGACGTTGGTGAAAAGTGACGCCACATCTAGTGAGAACATCTTCCGTCCAGCTAGATTGAGTTGTTGCACTGAGTCAAGAAATTCGAAAGTGTCCCGGAGGCTGTACCCAGATATGGCTTTCCTGACCGGCTCGAGGCGTTTGACAAGCCACTTAGCAGTCAGATGATACGGAGAGTTGTACGTGTCCAGTATTGGTCTCAACGGTACACCTTGCTTGTGGATCTTAGGTAAGCCATAAAGCCTCGGAATCATGGTTCCACTAAGTCTGGCGTATTTAAAAGTGTCCGAGTCTATGATGTTACTTTGTTTCAAACGCCGCAAAAGTCTTGCCATGGTCTTCTCAATTGCCGGCGTCTTGTCTTTCTCGTTTTGCAATTTTCAGAATTTCGATGCGTCTCTTAGGATGGTGTTCATCTTATCTATATAATCGGACTTGTTCATCAATACAATCCAGGCTCCTTTGTCCGGTCTAGATAACAAAACATCCTCCTTTTTCTTGAGTTCCTTCAGAGCGTCCAAATGCCTGTTCTTTAGAAGATATTTGATGGTCGGTCTGTACCTCAGGTACTGGTAGCATGTGTTTACCACATCACCAAAACATCTGACGGGACAGTACAAAGGAGAGTACATAGAAAGACAACTTGGACCGGCCAGTATACCCATTTCGCCAGTTTCGTCCCCATGAGCCAAAAACGCAACCTTGTCTGTTGTCTAACAGAAAGAGCGAGGAAATAATGCACGGAAGATACGTTGTCAGATGAGTTGAGTTTCATTCGAAGCGTTCTCGAACAAAATGGTTATCCGGACAAATTCATCCGGAGACACATGGAGCCACGAGCACCAAAAGTCCAACCAATCACCGCTGAAAAGCGCTTAATCTACTTATCACTGCCTTTCAAAGGTGATGTGATAGCAGAACGAACTACTCGAAGGCTCTGCAATGCAACAGCGAGAACCTACTTTGCAGCTGACCTCCGTGTCAGCTTCACTTCTACGCCAGTCGTGAGTCAGCATCTCAAGGACAGATTGCCGAGGTCGAATATTTCCTTCTGTGTGTACCATTTTTCTTGCTCGTGTCGAGCAAGTTATATCGGAAAGACGACCAGGAGACTGTCTGAGAGAGTCCGAGAACGTTGCCCGGCGTGGCTCTACACTGGTGTCAGAAAGACAGCAGTCAGCGCGGTGCTGGGGCACTTGGCCGACACAAATCATCAAGTGAATGTGCGAGAGGCCTTCTGGCCTATCTACAAGATATCTGGATGCCACACGCGAGCCCTCCGATGTCGCCTATTGGCGACAGCGGAAGCAATCGCTATTCGGCTCCATAATCCCGAATTATGTGCTCAAAAGAAGTTTGTACAGCCTCTACAGCTGCCATGGCCTCAAGCTTCCCCATGTTATGACACCACGCTTGACCCTTCCACTAACGATGCCCAAGCCAGTGTGGTCACTTGATCGCATTGACCGGTCAATTCACTTCATTGATTCATCGTATTGAAATGCAGTTTGTTTGTTTTATTCCTATTATCTGTGGTGTATTGGCCTGATGCGAACCACCGAAAACAAGCTTGTTCGCCTAGCTGTCCTTTGATTCTGATGTCATCTCAGGGATTATTTTGTTAGTTGAACACGAGATAGTTGATCAGTTCCATTACCTTTGAAGCTAAATCAGAAATGATTGGTTCATAGCCACGGAAGTCAGTACACAGCTTGTAAAAGATGGGACTGTCTTCTTGAATCTGCGATACCTGTGGCGTTAAGAGGTGGTTTCCTTCATTCTGAAAGGTCATGCTTACAGGGCCTTCTTGAGGGCTGTCCTGCTGCATGGGAAGGTTCGTTGCAACTAGCCTCAGCCAGACAGCCAACACACATCCAGGAAAGCTTCTACAAGATCCGTACCTATGATCTTACCCTTGCGAGTCAGCGGGCTTATCCCACTGAGCCGTGAGTGACGGCGACGGATCGCCATGACTGATTTTTAACTGCGATATAGTGCGGCTCATCCCCCTTCAGTACTCGCTTTGGCAGCTTACCACATGCCCCCGCAATTGTGGCGGCTTGCAAAGGAAGCCATAGAGCTCTGGGCGCCAACACAGCTGCACGTTGACGGCACGTATGATAGTGGAGAATGAATCCCCTCTCGAACACACAGTAAATCCCTTATTGCTGTATGGGAGTGAGATGACCCCTGGGATCCGAGGCGCTTTCAAATATCTGATCATCGCTGCATGCGAATCACTGCTGGTGTTGAGTGCCGTCAGTATTTCCGAATGGATGATGTGCGTAGGCAAGTACTAGGCAGTGATAATCAGGCTAGTTCGTTGGAACGACAGATAGTACTAAATAAGCCGCGTTGGTTTGAGCACGTACTACGTATGTCCGGTCACCGCTTAATGGAGAAAGCCTTGTTTCGTTTACCAGATTAGGTTGGTTCAAGGTTCGAGGCGGGCCTAAGTTATCTTGCCAGCGGAAAATGAAGCCATTGACTACCTTTGGTCTGTCTCGTCTTCCAACTCACAGTCTGTGTGT